GGCTCACGTACATGGAGCCCACCAGCAGGTCCGCGAAGGAAACTGGTCTTCAAAAGGAGCTGACTTCACTACAGCCTCTTTGATCACCTGCAACTTATAGTGATTCCTTGCCAGACAACCCAACCAGCATTCATGACCTTGACAAAGGGTAGGTGTTCATTATGTCATTGTGCTGACGTTGGGATCTGTGAGTAGCAGCAAGTGGGGGAGACATGCATTGTGGCTATGCATGAACATTGTTGATGGGTTCTACTTGTTTGAGACTAAGAATGTTGCAGGTACCTAGTTGTTCTGTGCAATGAACATGTTGGGGCCCAACAACAACAACGTTGCCAATCAACAGCATCCTGGTCCGACGGGTGCTTGGAGGGCTGAGCCATCGGGGCTACCAGGTGTGTACCAAAGCTAGGAACTCAAAATGGTTGGCCACTCATGCTGGTTTTACTGCAACACCCTCCAAATGACGCGCGGCAAGAACGAAAGCCCTGACCGGTTTTTTGTAACAGCCTCCTAGACCCTGTTGTTTGCATACAATTTGGAAGTGCTCTTGATGATTTGGAATGCATTCGTTCATTTGCGAGAGCCTGAGGAACCCACTTGATGGCATGATGGTTCCCTTTTGCACGGTGGACAGTACTTGTATGAGTTTGAGATGCGAAACAGGGATCCTTTGAATTATTATACACCTTGCGTGGTCAAAGAACTGGCCTCCGGAATCATTTGACATAGCTGCTATGGCAACACTTGGCAATGCATTGTGGAACAAGCTTCATGTCATAGTCTGCTATTTGTTGCCGCCAGGCCGGTTTGTTTCATATTGTTTGGTTTAATACACGGACCCTCCGCGGGCACAGACAAGTACATGCTGGTTTCCAGGAACAATGAAAAAGTACTTGAGTGCAGGTTCCATTTTGAAGAGTTGATGTGCAAACAGGTTGAAAAGGAAGGCGCGATGTCTCACCTTGCGACTGCTAGTCTGGCTCGCGAGGTCCTGTTCTTCTACGGCCACTGGCTGATGCACGCGAGCAAATTCCTTTACAAGCCGGAATCCCAGAACTAGTTGTCTCACATGACTCCGTGTTCTACCTGAATGGCGCAAAAGCATGATGCAGCATTGCAGCGTATGGACATGAAGACCGCTAAACAGACGCAGAAGAAACCAGTCAACTGGGGGTAGGGTCAAGGGCTCAAGAGGTTGAGTCGAGGTGAGACTGGCTGACTTACTGGCTGCGTGAGGCACATCCACAAGGTCCATCACGAGTTCAAGGCTCGACAGCCAGGGTTTCTGCCTCACCCTTTGTCATCTCATCGCCCCTAATTGAAGCTCGCTTGAAATCGCCAAACAGATGACCCAAGCGAGTATGCAGTTGCGCAAGGCGATCCATCTTTGCAGTCTTGGCTGGCTCGATCCATCACTTGCTGGCTGAAATGCGGACCAGAACATCTTACGCTAGGTAGAGTCTATGGTCACATGCCTGAAGACAGCAAATTCACCTGGCCACTAGGCTCCGATGGGACTGGCGGCGATTTACTGTCATCCCCTTGAGTTCTTCGTAGCAGATCTGATGCAGCCTCCTCAGCACAGACAGCCTGTTTGTGCATCGTGCTTGCAAGTTTTGCTGGGCGCGGCGCAGATGGCTTCATAACTGTAGATGAAGATGCTGGGCATGGGCTCGCGCAGCGCTTTGTTTTGGAATGAACATGGAATTTCTGTGTGTGCAGCGTGAAACATGTCGGCTCCAAGCACGAAGGGCATCTCGCCAATTGCTGTAAACTTCTATCAAAATTGCCCAACAGAAAAGAGAACATTCATTCTTCAATTAGTATTCTAATTGAACAGGGGGGTTGTCATGATTGCAACTTTCAGTGAACCCACACATATGTGGGCCAGTCTTTGTTTCTTGCCGTTTCTTGCCGTATTTTGTTTTTGCCATGCGAGTTCATATTCCTGGGACAGGCGCTCCCCTTTTCGATGTTTTGTTGGACTGCTGGCGACGCTTGGACTAGACCCTAAAAGTGCTGGTTGGTGGTGCTGGCTGTGATGCAATGCCAGAGACTTTGTACTTGCACCAAGCTCAAGGTTCTTCCGCCCAATCTGTACGATCAACTATGTTTCAAGGGCGGCTGAGGCCTTTGGGTGCGGGTCTGGTGGCAGTTCGGACGAACGGCTACACTGGCGCCAAGAGCTCAGAGATGGCCACATGGCCGTGGAAGTCTCGGTGTAAATTCAGCGGATTCAGCAAGCTAACTCGATGGTGTTCAAGGGCAGAACCGGAAAGTGTGACCTGTGAGCCTTCAGGTGGTTTGGATGGCCTTTGCAGTGATGGCCACTCAGACACACCATTGCGGCATCCGGTGGCCCTGGATCGACTTCTTCTCCTTCTCGGCGAGGGACTTGGGTACGGATGCAGGAAGCGTATTGCGAGTAACTTGCAGGAATCCCACTTGCATGATAAACTTGAATCCCAGTCAACATCATGCTGATGACTCACGTTGTTACCTGTTTCTCTGATTCTGGAGATGGTTGCTTCACTTAAATGTTTGAGGGAGTCAACCGTACCTTTGTGGAATACAGGCACGTGCACTCCAGAGCCAGCCAAAAGTGATGTTTCGATTACCAAGTTGGTCCATTTATGGATATGCATCAAAATAGGGGTCCCGTTTAAACCAACCAAGAAATGTTTGTATACCAACTCAAAAGAGCGCACCTTAAAATAAGACATACCCACATGCCGGCACGGTCTCCATCCTGATCTTTTGGACGAGTCTGATTTACAGTCCACACGATTTGATGGTCCAATCAATATCGGATACGACAGCCCCATGCCCGGTCAAACAAACTGGCAAGCGGGGTCATGGATGTCCGAAACGGTGGTTTTTTGAACAGCGAGAATGTTAGATGTTTGCGCTTGTGTTTCACAAGAACCTTCGGCCAACATTTCTCAGGGCTCATTTGCTGTCAACCAGGGCCAGGTATCAGGATGTCATGTCAGTTGTTTGTGAAACGGTGGCTCTTTTGGGAATCACGTGCTTGTCAAGAAAATCACCATGGATTTTGAGCTTTTGCGTTCCTTGCTCTCAGTGGCATAGCGACAGTCCCGTTGTTCCTTCTTTGTCCAATAATTTAGTTCCTCGCCAAAGGGAAGCAAGCCAAAGGGCTCCGCTTCGTGCCCCTGGAAGATCTGCGGATTCCCTGGAATCACTCGTTTTTTGCGTTTGTTGTTCTGGGCTTTCAGCTGGCAGGCAGAGGCGCAGCCGAACTTTCACGATTTTCACCACGCGCTTCGGCCAGCACCCGCTTTGTACAACTCACAGAAAAGAGACACAAATCCTCCAGTTTTGCCACTTGAGAAGGGCTGTGCTTTGCATCTTTGCACTTCTGAATGGCTAGAGGGCACTAAGCAATCAACATAATTTGGCAATCAGCGCAAAGTGGGGGAACAACATTCTGCCATCTTGCAACACACAGCAGAACAGCAACCCCGGAATGAGCTTTTGCAGTGCTGTGATTGACCTTGGTAAGCGGCATGCTCCACAATCGATCACTGCAAACCCATCCCAACAAGCGGAAAAACAAAAAAACTGCCGCTTTGCCCACTTTGAGATGTCTGGCATGTAGCTTCAGTTGCAACCATGATCGATCACTGCAGTCATATCGCAGAAAACAACACGGACCACGGACCAGACCTTGCCTTGGGGGTGGATTTTTTGTTCCCCACCCCATAGGTTTGGGGTTATTAGATCTTGAGTGATATCCGGCCGCTACAACCTGCGCGCCCGCTGACAGAGCTTGTAACGCACAGCTGCGATGGCTTGAGGACAGCTGCGACAGTCCGAAGCCGCCAGTGGCCGGGCCAGGACAGCCGTGACAGTTAAAGCCGCCAGCGGCCCGGCCAGGGCCAAGCAAGTTTCAAGTTACGCCTCCTTCCCGGAGATCCCTGTGCTTTCATTTTGCTTGTTGGGCCGCTTGGCTGCAGCATTTCGTCGGTGCGCAAGGATACGGCGGCGTGGCTGTTTGTTTAAAGGGCCAGGCGACGGGAGCACGAAATCGCACCTCTAGAGGGCACGCGCGTGTCACGCAGGAAAAAGCGCGCAGCCGCTGAAGCTACGCTGGGCCACACGACGCAGGATGAGAAACATTGAGCGCCATGTCCACGTAGTTGGACCTTTGGTTTGTGGCCTTGCAAGAGCTGGGCCTGGCCCCTCGAAGAATCGGAGTGCTCCGGTTGAAGGAATCTGCGCCAAACAGAAAGCATATTTCGGTAGCAGCTATACAGCTGCTATGGGTTAGGGGTTAAGTTAACGCTGTTGGTTTGGAGATTTCTGCCGTCGCGTCAGCCAGCAGCATGCTTGAGGCCCCGCACGCAGTTGGATTGACTTTGGTGTCTGTGTGGCAGCAGTCTAGCTTGGCCAAGCGAATTTCTTAGGTGGGGATTGCTCGGGGTAAAGTTGTTGCTTTTCCGTTTTCGCCTCAGGGCACGTCACTTCAGTTGCGGCCATGCTTTTTCATTTTCGGCTGAGGAGAAGTTCAACTTCAACTACGGAGCCATGGGGTGGTTGGATGACCTGCATGGGACCTCCTGGGACTGGCAGAAGGACTTTTGGGGCCGGCGGCAACGTGCAACCGGACCTACGGCTGCGAAGGCTGCCTAGGCGAATTCAGCTCCGCTGGACGGGCGCCGGCATGTTGCTGGTGAAAAAAAGCCCAAAAACCTTTGAGTTCAGGATCTTTGGACAGGAGTTGCAGCTGATCTACTGTGGACAAAATCCTGCGTCAGTTTGTAGGTTGCTTCTCCCAGTATTTACAAGGCTTCATCCGGAACTGGTGCAGGTTTCCATCCGCAGCACTAGACATGCGCTGGCCACAACTCAACTTGCAAGATCCGTGAACAAAAGATAATACCCAGTTCGACCTGTGTGATGGTTGTTCGTTATGCCTATGCCAGCATGTGCTTGGCTGCTGGTCCCTGATTCCCTTCGGTTTGGCCTGTCGCAGCAAGGTCGCATCCGATCTGTTCAGGATAATGGTGTGTATGTTGTCCGGGACTGAGTGCTTGAGCCTAACCAGCCATCCTGCGAGCGTGTGCATGTAGTTGGCTCATGATTGGATGACAGGGCACTGTCAAGAAAAACATTACACCAGCCTCGACCCCAAACAGCAAAAAAACATGACCGGTCTGTATAGCGCAAAAAAAGCTTGTCTCCTTCATGTAAGGTGCGAACTTGTGTAGCTTATGTGAGCAACACATAGTTACAATCAGTCCACGTATGTCCCTGCAGGAAGTCCCCTTTTTTGGGAAGAGGACACATCGGGTCCATCCATCTCCTTGACGCCGGGTAAAAGCATTGATGTTTTTAGTCGACTTTGAGGAGAAAACTCCATGTCAATGCCATGTTCGAGAGTGAAGGTCCCGGAAATTCGAGGTGAATCAACCTAACACCTGGCATGAACCAAAGGAAGTTTCGAAGGAACTTTCGTACGGACACTCAATGCACTTTTCCATCACCGCAGCATTTGGTGGCCGTCTCGCTACTCTGCTGAAACTTGCGCATCAGTCTCAGCAGCCTGCGGCGACACATGTCACTTCTGGTTGCTATCTTCTTCTCGAGCTCGGCTAAAGGTCTTGCCACATGCAAAGCAAGAGAGCGCTTGCATAAACTTGCAGACTGCGCCTTGTAGCGTTACGGCCGAGACATCCTCGCCTAGCAGCGCAGACACACGCCGCGCCAAATTGGCAAGCGTCAGCAAAGGTGCCCCGTTTGGCGCGCACCTCTGTCACCCGGCGCAGCTCCAGAAAATCCTCAGTGTTTGAGCCGGCAGTAGCTTGGTCATCCAGGGTCTTCATCTCTGTCGTGTCCAGCGCGCCGCATGCTCCCAAGATGGCCAACGCGTGGCTTTGCTCCATGCGCCCAACGCCGCTCCATTCCGGAACAAGCTTGGCTTTGAATGTCAGCTCCAGCCCTGCTCCATCGCGGAAACGTGTGAGAACTTTGCCCCAACTTACCACTGCTGGCTGCACAGTGGACACCACCAGCTTGGCCGGGTTCATCTTCGAGTTGGCGCTTATGGTTCGCAGATTGGTGTTCACATGTGTGGTGAACGACCGGAGGCCGTCATTCTTCTAGCTCCAACGATGCTCCACAAGGATGCAAACCTGCGCTTGGCCAAGAGAGAGGCACATCCTTTGCACGCAGGCTTGCAGAAAAGTCTGCGACATGCCCTTTCCCCGTTGCGAAACATTGTTGCAAGTGGTTTCTGCTGACTTGAGGTTCAGTTGGTTTTGCTGTAAGGAGGAAAACAGCCAGCTGGCAGCAACGAGTGCAGAGACCGGGAGAAACAGGGGGGAGTCACAGCATCTGCAGAGACTGGGAGACACGACCCAGCACTGGCACACAGACACAGGGAGACAAGCGGGAGCGTCTCAGCATCTGGCATTTGACCGCAGAGGGACAAGCGGGAGACACAGAAAGACAAGCGGGAGACCCCGGAGCCAGCGTCACAGCATCTGGCGTTTGACCGCAGAGGCTGGGAGACACAGGGAGACAAGCGGGAAAAACGTCCCGGGAGACACGCAGCTGGCGTCACCGCAGAGCTAGCGTCACAGCGTCTGGCACCCAGGAGCCAGCGTCACAGCATCTGGCACCCGACCGCAGAGACTGGAAGACAAGCGGGAGAGAGCGGGAGACACAACCCTGGAGCATCACAAAAAACGGGAGATGGAAGACACAGGGAGACAAGCGGGAGCCAGCGTCACAGCGTCTGGCATCCAGACACAGGGAGACAAGCGGGAGACACGACCCCGGACCCCGCTGGCATCCGACCGCAGAGACTGCAAGACATGCGGGAGACACAACAGCGTCACAGCATCTGGCATCTGACCGCATAGACTGGGAGGCAAGCAGGAGACACGACCCCGGAGGCGTCCAACCGCAGAGACTGGGCGACAAGCGGGAGACACCACCCCGGAGCCAGTGCCCGCCCGCAGAGACTGACACGACCCGGAGCCAGCGTCACAGCATCTGGCATCTGACCGCGGAAACAGGGAACGTCACAGCATCTAGCAAACACGACCCCGGAGCCAGTGTTGGAGCATCTGGCATCCGAGCAGAGACTGGGAGACAAGCGGGAGACACGACCCCTGAGCCAGCGTCACAAAAAACGGGAGGTGGGAGACACAGCGAAACAGACACAACCCCGGAGCCAGTGGAGCCAGCGTCACAGCATCTGGCATCTGACCAGAGAGACTGGGAGACAGGAAGACAAGCGGAAATTAGGACCCCGCAATCGGCGTCACACTTTCCTATTCTCTATACCTCAAGTTAGAACCCCAATGCTTCGCTGTTTGGGGAATCATGCACCAAGCCAAACTTGTAGAAGCGAGCATGCAGAATATCCAGAAGAACTTGGATCGCACCATGATCATGCAAGGTTGACTTGGCCGGGGGCGGGATCAAGGCGGGAAGCCTGTGATTGCTCGTCACTCATTGTGGTGAGCCCATATTGGGCATAAAAACTGCCCATGATAAAGGTCCGTTATTTGGGGGTCCTGATCGAATTCAGGTTGAAGTTTGTTTGTCAGAGCAGAAGTGTTTCACTGCTCATAGAGACTGCAGCACGTGCCAAACGGGGCAGGTCGGCGTCAACACAGCAACTCCTTGCTCGGAAGAAGAACTGGACAAGGCCTGCGCTTGGGTTGCATGCGGAGTCCGGCTGGACTGTGGCTGCAACCTTCCCGGTCAACTCCAGCCATTCGTTTAGAAATGGCCCAAGGCCCGATACGTTGGAAACAGCGAAGGTGAGATAATATGACCACACCTTGTAGACTAGCCTTAACAAATTCATCCTAATCTTCGAGTATGATTCCAGGATCGTATAAATATGGTTAGCAAATCTTGGTTGATAAATGTGCTCGAACCGTTCGGGCATGCGCCCGGCAAGGCCGGGCGAGCCGGGCGAAAGGATTTAGTTGGTACATAAGTTTACCTTGTTCTTCCAACATTGGGGATCCCTTTTTGGATGATGACATGGAAGCATCATGTGGTTCCTCGTAGTTCATGGCCTGAGATTTTGAAATGGTCAAAAAGGCTTGGTTTTTTGGGGATTGTTATAACCCTCCTTCGGCGGCTCAAGGCACATGTTCGATCAAACCAAGTCAGATGTATCTGGTCAATCTAAATTTGGTGCCCCAAAGGCTGGTGAAAAGGCAGCATAGTTTTGATGCTTCGAGGTATGTGGGTATGTCTCAGAATAGGGGACCCCCAAAATGATTTTCGATTTCCTGCAGGTTTCCCTTGCAACAAAGGTGAGAATGAAAAAGTACCTCAGAGAAATACAAACCCATAGCCCCACATTTCGTTTGGATTGGTCCATGGCTATAATCCAAGCCATGGCGCCTTCTGCGCCTCTCCCGTTTTGCTGCGGTCTTTGGACTGTCAGGTGGTACAGTCCAAGAAGGCATTGATGTATCACCTGGACGCGTGGTCAGGGTGCGGAACCCAACGAATCCGCGCGACACTGAACCAGAAACTGGATTTGTCTTGGAACCGACAGAATGGGTGGTTTTCCCTTGGCCTGCCCTCGGTTTTCCTTTGAGGTTCCCATAGATTCTTTACAAACCCAGCCAGACCGTGCCAGCAGAGGGTGATGCTTTGCTGATTCGCATAACTACTTAGACTCCCTCATAAGCTTACTGGAAAGTGGATACGGAGCGACCTGACCATGAAGCGTGGTTTCCCTTATTGAAAGCTCGGTTGGCTCCACATTAGCACCACCAGCAAGGGGCATCACTTGATTGCCTACTGAAATTTGCGCATGCACGGGGTCAACCATGTGAGCTCTTGCCAATCATTGACGACATGGTAGAAGACCATGTTGGCCCGGGTCTACTCTTTCGCGGCACAACATGTGTGCTGCTAGATCAATCGAGTTGGTGCCTCAATCATGGCAACTCGATATGACCTATATGTTCTACCACTGGAAGCCTTGTTTGATGTTCAACGAGGGGATTAGCAGTTGGTTGATGTACTCAGGGAGGGCGGGCGCTTGTTGTTACGCAGCCTGGACGTTTTGCCAGCTGGTTCCTGCTACTCGGCTGAAGCATGCTGCTGCACTGACACAGGAATGTTGCTGGCCTTAATTGCTCGATTTTTGGTCGAACAGAGCTGCACAGAAAAAGTTATCTTTGACCAGGAAGCCAACATTCAAAAGGCGCAACCATTCAATGGGAAAGCTTCCCGCCACAGGTACAAGACGCGTAATGCGATCGCCTCAGCTTGTTTCAAGCACAATTGTGTGGGCGGCCAACGCAGGATAGCACGCGTGAAAATTGTGTTCAGGGAATACGTAAGTCACAGGTATGTCCGGAAGTTGTGGACCCTATTTTGTTGAGCGACCCCGGAAATTTGGCCGCTTTTTGCAGAAGCTCCCAACAAGCTATTGTATCCATGGCCACAACAAGCAACTGCGTCAAATCAAAGTGACTACGCCGAGAAGGGGCCCCAAAAAGTGTTGGACTCTCTCGAGGTCTGGCGTGTTAGGCGTTGCCACTCAGGCGCCGCAGCGTCTGGCACCCTCTAGGCACGGATGTCTGCTGAGACAAGTTAGATTGATTGAGAATCATGTCGGCTTACTTGTTAGTGTCCCTTGCCGAATGCCAACGTAGTGACCGCAAGTTGGGCGAGTATGCAACCCTGGCTCGCCCACAATGTTGCTTTCCTTATAGCTTCGTTCATTTGCGGCGTGGCGCTGGCTTATGGCGTGCTTGGTGGATTTGTCTGGTGTTTTCTGTTTGCATGATGATTTCAGCCAGTGGCAAGAGAAGTTGGATATCCCAAATGATGAATCGCATGTGCCAACACTTCCTTGAAGCCACAAGTGAGGTTTTTCAGGGTGCGCTTCCATAAGTTCCATGTAGTGATTATGTCTAGTTGTCAAGGGTCAGCAATAAAGACTGAAAACTCAAATTTGTTTGACTGCGTAGGAACTAACGAATATGCATATGCCTAGTTTGTTTGCTGTGGTAAGCAGCTTGTTTTGTTCCAGGCATTTACCCGGGCACTGGGTCTCAGATTCCTGGGGCATGGAAATTGCACTGAAGTCTCATTGCTAGGTTCATGTTTCTGTTTTGGACCCTTGCGGTCACCAGGCCATCTGCGCGGAGGAGCCTGGTGGCACCTCGGAAGGACCGAGCGTAGTGTTGGGTTCACTTCGGATGGAAGCACCCCGGTGTGTTGTTGGTGCCATGGGATGGAAGGCCGTGTTGAAGTTGAAAGCCTCAACACCGAGGCTGAAAGGTTCGAATCAGGCATCAAACGCCTGAACACGGCATTGCCACCTCAGCAATGTATTGCAACCAGTAGGTTGCTTGGGCATCCCATGTCTCCACCACAGCGACAGGAGGTGCACTCGACCTAATAGACCTGTGCTTGTAGATCTGCTGGCTCCTGCACATATTGCGCATTTGCGAGCGCGACCATCATGACGTGTCATTGAGTGAGCCAACAGAATGTCAGCTGCATCCAATTTGGCTGCATTATACATTCTGCATGTCGACCATCCACAGTAAGATACGCCGTAGCTGCTGCCAGGATTAGCATGGCTGCCCTTTATAGCCGTACGATCAGATATTGTACCTGAACCCAGATAGCAACTTATTTTTAGATCAAGTCCCAAGGGCATGAGTGGGGACGAGGCTCGCTAACTTTCGACACCATTTGCATTCCGATCTGCACTGCGCGCGTTGCCTTATGCGGGGTTTGTCGTTAGCGTTCCACTCCAAAGCATCGAGGTCGTGCTGCTGCCTTTCTTTGTATTTTTCGTCTCTCAGCCCTGTCGTGTTGACTCGCGTAGGCTGCGAGGATTCGGCCGCCGAGCATGCATGCCCAAGACTGTGTCAGCGCGGGCATCGACTTGACAACTTTACGTCTCCTTTTTTGTTGCACAACCCCCCAAGCAGTGCATCAGGCCTACCGGGAAATACTCCCCACCATAAATTGCCATGTTTTCGTCCGAATCTAAGAGGTGGGTCCCAAAAAGGAGATCCCTCAACTGATGGCCGCTTCCACAGTCGGCGGCAACGACCGGCACCGGCTCGGCGCAGGACAGGTGGACCCAGAGGTACCCCACACTGAACGGCGTGGTCATTGCCAAGGTGCCGATCACGTCACGCACTTTGGCTTGGCACGTCACGTGCGTTTCGAAGAGGGATATGGAATTCAATGTATCCAATCCCTGGATTCCCAGCTTTAGGAATGTTGACCTATGATTAATAAATAGGGCCCCCCCCCCCCCCTGAATGACCCTAAATAAAGATTAGGGGAGAATTTTCAGGGTCGGGCCTTGTTTAAAGGAGTTTAGTATTGGGCTCAGTTTTTTTGGTTTTCGAATACTACTTTAGAATTGGGCCAATTCAAAAGTAGTATTGGGCATGTTGTTTTTTCTTATTTTGCTTTGGGGGAATACTAGTTTAGAATTGGGCCAATTCTAAAGTAGTATTGAGCCAAGAACTTTTGCATGCATTTCATGAGGGTTTGCATGGGTAGGCATGTATTCCAGGAGGGATTGAGAAGGAAATTCATGAGGGTTTGCATGGGCTGGCATGCATTCTAGGAGGGATTGAGACGGGACATTGGCATGTATTCCAAGAGGGATTGATGACATTCATGAGGGGCATGGGCAGGCATGCATAGGAGGGATTCCAAGAGGGATTGAGAAGGACATTCATGAGGGTTTGCATGGATTCAGCATGACATTCACAAGGGGAGGCATGGGTTTGCAGGCATTTCAGCAAGGGTTCAGTGAGCATTAGCTCGGCCAGCATTGCAGCCATGTCATCAGTGAGTGGGAATTCATGGCATGAACTTCATGAGTCAGATTTAGATTCAGGGCATGATGCAGATACAGAGCAGGCTGGGCAGGAGGAGGCTGGATCAGAGCTGGGGGCTGCAGAGCAGAATGCAGCAGTTGATGAGGGTGCATCAGTCCAGCGTTATTGGGCCAACCAGTACACTGCATTAGTGGGCATGACAAGGAGAATCAGGCATCATGTTGAAGTGCTTAATCTGATTGGTCAGCATTTGGGCATTGATGTTGCAGATACATACTGGTGCCTGCATTATGCAGGCAGTGTGTATCAGTTTGTCCAGCTAGAAAACCCTGCATATTCAGATGCATGGTGCATCTGGGGCTGGGTGATTGAGTATGCAGCAAAAGGCAGCTACTATTTTGTGGGTGATGAGATCAAGGAGCTTGAATGTCATGTTGGAGATGCGCCATCAGAACTTGCATCATCAGGCTCAGCACCAGCAGGATCAGACTCAGCACCATCAGGCTCAGGATTAAATTCAGATGCATCAACCACAACATCCTGTACATTCCCTCAGCATCCTCATGAGATCAGGTTTGTAGATTAGTTAGGCTCAGTGCAATGGACATGGCAAGTGAGTATGACAGAAAAAGGGTTATGGTGGTGTGTGGTGGGTGGTGTGTGGTGGGTGGTGTGTGGTGGGTGGTGGTGGGTTGGTGGTGCCAGCACCATTCCCTTTCAGCCCTGGCCAAGCCCTGCTAGGCTCAGATCTTCATCAGGTGCTGCATCCAAAGAAGGATGATGAGGCAAAGAAGCCAATTGGAGAAGGGAAGGATGAGGAAAAGAAAGCAATGAGTAGCTGCAACCCAGTGTTCTTAGCAGTTGGCATCAGGATTGAGTTGGAAAACATGAAGGTGCATGCGCTGTCATGAGTGGCATGGGGGCAGTGAGCATGGTTTCACTTGGCATCATGTGCATCCAGCAATGTGCATGAGCCATTCAATCATCAACAGCCTTTTGCACCATCAGAGCTTGGACTCAGTTTGTATTTGGAGCCCATTAGCATGGCCATGAGCATGAAGAAGGTGATGGCATGCCTGGTTGCCATCATTGCAGTGGTATTTGGCATCATCAGTAGCTTGAATCAATTCATGGGGGACAAATTGACAATTGCTCATCACTGACAATTGTTAACTATCATGACTGAGGCCAGGGGATTGACATGGAGCACCATCAGTTGATCAATCAGGGAGTGCCTTGGCCACATGGGGCATGGCAATGCAGGGAAATTAGCATGGGTGGAGGGTGCACACAAATCAGGTGATGTACTGCTTCATGCTGTATGCATTGTGGAAGATGCATCAGTTTGTGGATCATGCAACTTGGAGTCATTAATTAGTTAAGTATGCAAATGTATTTGTTTTGCAATGGCATGCAGGTAGTCACATGAACATTGATGAACATTGTTCACTGCTCAGGCATGCAACATCAGCAACTCAGCCTGGACATGTGCAAGGAAAGCAGGGTTCATGGAGAAGCGTGCCTGTGTCAGCAATCAGATTCATGATTCATGGCATGGAGTTTGCTTGAACCAGGTGTATAGTGTGTGAATGCTTTAAATTCTTGATGAACTTCAGGCATGGACATCGCCTATGGAGGCTTCCATGATTTGCAAAGGCATGTGGCACAGGTGCTCAGAGAGCCTCTTGGCTGATGCAAGATAATTACATGAAGCATGATGATGAGCACATGAGGTGATAAGGAACTAGTTAGTCAGATGTCATCAGCTGTTACTCAGTTAATTACTGGGCTCAGGTATGATGATCAGATGGGGGATTCTGCCATATTGGTGGGCATGATCCAGGGATTGCGCCCTACATTTGCACCAGGGATGAGCAGAACCTTGCCAGCATTAGTTTCATTAGGCAATGCTAATTATCAGCAGGCAATGCAGCAGGGCAACCATTGCAACCAGCATGGCAACACATGATTGGCTTTATTCATTCCAGCCAAGGGGATTACTATGAGGCAGAATGGGATTTGGCAATTCGTGCAGCATTGCTGGATGCAAAGCTGCAGGCCCAGCAGCTTTGAGTAACTAATGAAATGACAGTTCATGAAGCAAAATTCTAATTAAGTTGCATGATGATTGGACTTGTTGTTTTCAACTAAGGTATCAGCAGCTGATTCGCAAGGTATGTGGGATGAAGGACTATGTGGCACATGATAAAGAGCAGTTCATCAGGAAGAATGCCAACAGGAAGGAATGGCAACAGGAGCAATTGCATCCAGAGCATTGGATTAATTAGTAAACAAATGATTACATGAGTGCTTGAAACTAGCAAGTGTTTGAGATGTGCTGAGGATCAGGATGCTGCTTCCATCATGGGCATGTGCCCCCCATGGAGCAAGCTCATCAAGGCATACCAGGCCATTGATGCCAGGATGCAGCAGCTGGTGTGCCTTGGAAGTTTCAATCCAGAATCAGCAATCAAAGAATTGTTAGCTTGTGAGTGCATGATGTGATATCCAAGTGCATCATTGATTAAGGAAGCTCTATGAGCACTACAATCAGCAAATGGATCAGTGGGAAACGGACATTCCATTGCAGCCCATGTGGTCATTCCAAAGGGAGATGACCAAGGTCGACAAGATGTGCCTCAGCAAGCAAGCATTTGATGAGTTTGATGAATTATCAATCAACAGACCCAGCAAACGCAATCAGCAGGACACATAGTTAACAAACATCAGCTCTTGACCATCAGCAAGCAACATACATGTGAATAGTGTGCAAATGAGGATCCAGGAAAGTGAGGATAAGAAAGGGAGCCTTGGAGAATTAGCTGAGTCAAGGTAGAAGTCATCAGCATCAATGTGCATGCACACTTTGGACTTAAGGCAGAAATGCATCAAGGGCATCTTCTAAGCCTGATGCAGCCAGGAAGATGTGACTTGACAGCACATGATGAATGCAAGTGCAATGGAAGGGGGCATTGGTTACTTGTTTGGGTGTGCAATGCAAGGCGCCATTCATCAGCTGGTATGGCACAAGCGGGTAAGGCGCAGTGCCTTGCAAGCAATAGATGGGCAGTTGCATGGCCATCAGCAAGCATGCAGTTAATCAAGGGCAGTGGCAGCACAACTAGCCTACAATCCAAGGTGCTGGACCAGCTGCTGATGGCCTGGCATGAGGTTTTTGATCAGAGGCTATGAGCCCTGGAGCAAAAAGGATGCAAGGCATCATGAGTGATTCAGGGCATCATGTTTGGCACTCAAGGCATCATGAGTGGAAGTCAAGGCAATCAGGCAGTCAAGGGTTCATGGTCATGAGGGACATCAAGAGCCAATAACACCATGCATGTTGGGCTGCTCAAACTGCAATGCAGTTGCACACCATATTCAAGTTCAGCTATTGCATTAGGAGCAGCAGCATGATTAGGCTGCTCAAGCTGCAATGCAGTTTCACACCATATTCAAGTTCAGCTAATGCATTAGGAGCAGCAGCATGATTAGTTACTAAACCATTGCTCAGGAATCCAAACCAAAAGGCAGGTAACTTATTAGGAGACATAGAGCATTTTAGCATGGGTGGCCATGAAGAAGAGCATGGGCAAGGATGATGAGGGCCGGGCACAGGGAGGGGAGAAGGGATGGGAAGCTGAGATGATGCATGGTTGATTGATTCATTAATTATGCATGGTAGCCATTGACACCCAAGCTCAAATCAACTTAGAAGCCATGATCGAGGGCAATGAGCCATACTGGGAGCTCAAGAAGCCATATTCAGCATGGATCCAGTGTGCTACATCAGAATGTCATGGGTGGACTTGGGCGAGGAAGTGGCATCAAAGAAACCCATACTGCTGGGTATGCAGGAAGCCTTGGATTGAGAGCTGGATACAGATTGGATTCCAAGTGTGGGAATTCAATTGATCAGATCCATAATGGATGCAAAAAAGGGTCTGCAAAAGAGGGGCAGCATTGCTTGCATGAGCTGTGATTGCATGAAGGAAATTTGGCATGATTCCTTGCCTGTGCAGGAAGATGAGGCTGCAACCATCAGCCAGCAGGATGAGGCCTGGATTGAAGGGATCGAGGCTATTGATACAAAAGAAAGGAAACTGGATGACCATGAATAAAGATAATTGAGGGGATCATATTTCTTTGAAGAGGGAATGTGGTTAGCATTATTCATGGTCTGGTTATTATTTAGTGCATCAGGGTTCATGGGGGGTACTCTTGCTGCTCTGGTCAATGTGTTGATGTCTCATCTAGAATCAAGTGTGGGATGAGCCAAGTGGAATGGGAAGCTTGACCATGAATAAA